ATGCCTCTAAACAACTAGTGTTATTATGAAAATTATTGAGAGTGAGCGAAATTTCTTCGCCATTTCCGGTGTTTATTCCAAAAAATTCCTCGGTTTTTCCCCCTGTTTTTTGTAATGGTGTTGTCGGAAAGAATGCATAATTTTGTAAAACAAGCACTTTGTACTTGCATATGGTTTTGTATGCATAGTAATGCTACTGTTTACGGATGACGCTGTTTTCGAAGGGTGTATGCTTAAGCTTCAGGAGGAGAGCACAGTGCTCTGTGCTACTGCCACCTCTGGCGGGTGTACGGTTTCGACGTGTCTGTTTAGTTTTGACGCTAAAACGTTTTTTTTTTCTTTTTTTCTGGAAATTGTATTCGTCGTCATAAAGTGATGTTTTCTCCATAAAAGCAGTTTAAAAACGTCGTTTTTTTCTTTTTGCATAATTCGACAAATAGTTCCTCAGCTACATCTTGAAAACAAACTGCTTCGCCGGTAACGTCCTCATTTGCAAACGAAAGATATGGAGACCGTTCAGGTAATCACTACAAGTAACAGTCGTTGTGAACAAGCCCTTTTTCAGAAAAGGGTTATGCATCAGAAGGAACTGAATACCACCCTCCAATCCCGGTTACGACCCGTTACCCATTACACCACCAGTCCTTGTGGTCCTCTGCTGGAGCGCCCATATTCTGTGCCATTTGTGCAGCACACCCTTTCAAACAGTTGCCGGCTTTTTGCGGGTTATCCGCGGCATATGTTGGCCAGTATGGGTTCCATCACACGCCCGGCACAACTGCATCAAGCTGTCCGGGTCTGGTTTGCACACTTCCAACTAATACACATCGCCTTTCCATTAGTTCTTGCAGACACTGCAGTCTTCAAGCTGCTGTTTTCTATGTTCTGTTGAGTCGTTGAACAAGCTGCTTGGGCATTCAAAAACCGTTTTATTATGCGCAACAAGAAAAGAACTAGATCACATTTAGTTAACCTAAATTACATAAGTAAAAAGTGCTGAGTCTTCTAGACTGTTAAAACACGAACAAAAATCACCGGATGAGCGAGTGCTTCTTTTCAGCGAACTGATTTTCGAAGTTTCACCGAAAGTAATTACACAGAATCGTGCTTGCTTAGTCCCTAGTATTCAGGTGGATCCGGAAGATCGTTCGCCGGGTGGGATATAGTTGGGTGGTTCAGGTGCTGAAACAAGCAACGCGAAAATACCAAAACGTATAATTAATGGTACAAAAAACTTTTTGAAAGTTGTCCAAAAGTCTGGGGACGAAGAAACTTCCTGAGACTAAATGCCTTGGAGAAAACAATAAAAAGACAAAATCAAAACTGCTTTTGTATTTGCTCGCTATGAGAGGCAGGAACACTAGAAAATGGCTGATAGGTGTAGTGTGTATTAAAAATAACCATTCCCCGGCAGGGCTACCGGTGGCTTCTTCCTCCGAAAGTTGTTTAAAAGCAGATGATGGGGAAGGAGCGAAGGAAAATTGTAAAACTGAAATAAAAAAATAGTATAAATTACAAAGCTATCTTAATTTGTCAAAAAATTAAACATGATACTCTGAGATGAACTCTAGAAGGGGCAATTTTTTACAAATATGACGGATGCTAGACACGTTGCAAGGCTACCTCTTCGTAGTTTCTCTGAACAACCATTTTTTAACCCGTGAAATCATTCATCCAAAGAAACACAGTTACATTTCGGTCGCTTTTTTAACAAATTAGTACATGAATGAAACTCACAACGTGCAAAATTGTCCCAGGTCATTTTCGAGTGCTCAACTGCGGTACGAACAATTGCTACTGTTTCATATGGATAGCAAAATGCGCTCATCGTGAACAAGCCCATCCCAGCATACAGAAATCGGCGAAACACCGACCTGAAAATATAATTTGTTCACCCAAGCGGCATAATTTTTAAGAATTCCAGAAAACCCTAAAAGCACTTGAAACATACCGCTATCAGCACACTTTTAAGCAAAATTCTAAAAAGATACCCATCGAAAACTTCTCAGCACATAACTGCCGATCAAAGATGCTAGCTACCACTTGGACTCTTTATCACTGTTTCTTTCTTAAACAGTGGATGTGAGACAAAGGGGAGGGACGAGAAAGACAGGGGAGGGGAGGGGAGGGGGTGAGCAAACCTTGCCAATTCTAGACGTCGATGAGGTACGATACCGAGTAAGTGGTCGAACTTCCAAAAATACGGAAAATCCTCCGAGATGGCACAAAACTTGGCCGAGCTAGGCAAAAATCAAACTAGAATAGCGCTATATCCGCTCAAAGACAATCTGTAAACTCGTGAATCAGTTCAGCCCATTTTGTACTCAAAGCGTTAATTTTCAAATTGGCCTCATTGCTTAATCACAAAAAAATTTCACCTTTTCATACCCAGGATGAAACCAGTAAGGCCGCCAACAGTGATTGCAGCCGCTTTTGGTAACGTACCATAATCTTCACGTAACCGCTCACTGAATTCTGCAAAAAGAAATTCCAAAAATTTCTGTTCGATTTTTGAAGGTATACTTGTGGTGTGTGCAATCGCGACGATCGAATCCCGTCCACAAGACACTCCCGCACTTGTTCTTTCAAATCAGCTTAACAATAAAAATTTCCTTTGAATCGGAATAACTTGAACAAAAACAAACCGTGTGTCGCACTAAATGCCTTCTTGGATTTCTCTTCAATGTTATGATAAGATTCCTGCAATTCAAAAAAAACCTGGATTTTTGCTTCGTATCAGGTGTTTCAAAAGCAAAAAAACAATTACTTTATACAACCATCAAAGATAAGAAATAAGTTATGCCGCACAGGGGGAACTTCAAAAGTTAACCTATAAAAAGGAAGGTTCGAAAATTTGCAAATTATAGAAGGAATTACTGTCTCAAATAACAGTCTTAGAGCTTTCCAGCAAATTGGATTTACACGAATGACAGAAACAAAAATAATGCCCACGTAAAGTCTATCTGGACCCATGGATAAACGGGTAGAGAGACAGGCAGACACGGACAAACGCATGATTTTGTTAACAGATGCAAAAATGCATAAAAATGAGGGCTGGAAAAGGCCATACGAGATTTATCTTCCCAGCTACGACTCGCTAAGAGAAATAATATACGAGACAAGTCAAATTTCCGTTGAAATCTCTTAAGAAAAATTACCCCTAAATTGCCAAAACGTTGTGTAGCAGCTCGTCGCAATGATGCCAGTTCCGATTGCATAGGCAACGGCTGCTGCTCCCTCACTTCCAGATAATGTGGCTTCTCGTCTGGATACATTGGCAACTAGAAATAAGTGGAAAAAACTGTTATTTTGGTACCTTAATCAACTCCTGCTCCACCATCACCCTCCTTCTCTTCATTGAAGCAACGCCAGGTTTTTCAAAACCTCATTATTTTAGGTATTTCTGCTCCGAATAACTCCACAGAGGCGTTTAAGGGAGGTTTTCACTGCCGTTTTCTCTGTGTTTGTTTAGCACTGCGTGGATACTGTTCAATAATCCATTTAACCAATTGCTGTTTTTAATCCGGTTTTCATGGAGACTATCCCTGACGGCACAGGGCTGGAGCTGCAGTATTTTACTGCAGAAACCCGTTAAAAAAGCAATATCCAAGGGACCAAACTTGATGAGCCAAAGCAAACGTCAGGATCTCCAGCAAGCTGACTACCACATGATGCAGCACTGCACTTTGCAGACTGCCATCTGCACAGCTTGAGCACCAGATCACGCATTACAGTTAACAAAAGTCTAGAACTCAAACATCCCCTCCATATTTGCTCTAAGTGAGAATCAGCCGAGAAGGGAAGCAAACGCTAACAGCAACCACCCGCTGGCAAGCCTGTCTATCAATGACTTCCTCTTTCGAGGGCTGCTTGCAAGCAAGCTGATGGCTGGTTTTACCGGGCAGACACAAATATTTGATTCTGGGTGATGAGCCTAGAATGATCGAATTGAAAACCCCGGGAATGTGATGTACAGTTTAAAAGCATTTCTTTCGAGGACAAAGCACTTAGTGAACAGACAATGCACAAGGCTTATCCTAACGGGCCTAGCAGCGCCTCTTGGCTTCTTCAATAGCATAATTACATAAATTACATATTTTGGCGCATCCCCGAAGAACGAAGAATGAAGAGAGTAAGAGGGGCAAAGGACGCACTTCCTCCACGGTGACCATTCGTGCGGGGTTTGGCTTCGGCAATTTGTCGGCAGTGACCGCTGCCCACCAGCGCGAAATCGACGACTTAATGTTCTCCATTGTTTCAGCCATAATTTCACATGGGCAGCAAATCTGAAGTGAAAATAAGGGAAGACTGAAAACATGAAAATCCTTCGCGGAGGATCGAAGACGCCATCCCTAACGGATACTAAGCAATCCAAATCCTCTCCGTATACAAACTCTCTGAGAGGCGATCCTGGGCGGATCCAGAAGAGGCAGGGGAAAGACCCCCCCCCCCCTCTCT